AAGGAAAAAGCCATGGATGTTTGCTGGAATTGCTGTGTGGTTTTGCACATTCTTCTCATTTCTGTGTGGGATTTCTCCAGGACTGGTTTCCTGGGGACCCCCACATTCCAAAGATGTGACACGGGGTTCATTGCCTTGACTTGGTTGTGCGATGGAACAGCATCCTGTCGGGTGGATTCTTGCCTTGATTATGACTGACTTAGGGAGGTTTTGGCCTCTAGCCACCGTGGACTAGAATCAGCAGGTTGGAAAATGAATGCTATTTACTGTTGAATATTAAACTTTTTTTTAGCAGTTTGCTGATTTTTAGTACCTGGAAATATGTTGTAGTAAATTTAACTTGTTTATATCATTGCTCCCAGGTGAAACGGGTTTTGTAACATGTAAAGTAGGTTTAGTGAGAACAGAGAGTAAGACTGGGTTCTGGTCCTTTGTCTATAAAAGGAGAAACAGATGGAATGACCTTATAGATCCTACCTAACACATACCCTCCATAACTCTCTCTCCTTGAGGTGGGCTAGTCATTCGGGTAGAGCTCCCTTGATAAGGTTGGCACATAAAGCAAGAAGAGATTAACAGACATAAGGTTCCTTAATGTCAGCAGGACGGTTCTGGATGTGCCTGACCCAATCAGAAGAGTCGTTACGGGGACTTGAATCCTACTCAAAAGAAAACATTTGAAATGGAAGTCAGTTGTGTAGTGAAGTGCCGATGTGGGTTGGGGGGTGGGGTGGAATAATGGCAAGCAGGGAAAGTAGGCAGGTAGCAAATACCTGAGAGTGGCTTCTAGGAGTTGAGCGTGGTTCCTGGCTAATAGCCAGTGAGAAGCCGAGGTCCTATGGCCACCAGAAGGAAAGGACTGCCATTCATCTGACAGCAGTTGGAAGCAGACCTTTGTCCAGCTGCCTCATCAGGGAGGATGCAGTTGGCTGACAGCTGAGATTCAGCCTTGGGAGAGCCTGAGCCCAAGAGCCAGCCATGGCTAATCCGAGATCAACTCTTGCAGACAGTAGATGCTGTCTGTGGTCCTTTGCTAATGTGGTGACAGAACACATCCATACTCCGATTTCATTCAACATCATTCGCTGATTTCAATCAACACACCATTCGCTGAGGTTTCTAGGTGGTGGCTGAGTAAGGTGCAGTAAGCTACTCCGAGAGCTGGTCTTCCACAGTGATACTAACCCATTCAGAAGGCTGGTGTTGCATACTGGAACCTCCAGGAAAGCACATGGACCCATCCAGTTCCACCCTTCCTCAGGTTCTCCTGTAGCTTAGAATACCAGGGAAGCTGCCTCTGAACTGAGGGTCTAGAGTGGCTACCACAACTCTTTTAAAAAAACTTTTATTAGTTAAACACCATGAGGTACAGTTGTAGACTTACAAATTTTTGTGCTTGGGTTTCAGTTATACAATGATTGATTACCCTTCCCGCCATCGGTGCCCATGCCCCACCTCCAATGTTCCCAGCATCCCACCCCTGTGGCTGGGCATTCCCTTTTGTTCTCTCTCTGCTTTTGGGTGCTGTGGTTTGCAAAAGAGGCATTGAGTGGCAATCATGTTCGGTCTAGAGTCTACTTTCAGCATGCATCTCTCATCCTGGGAGGATCCTCCCAACATCCTTTACTTGGTGCTCCCCCTGTCTGAGTTGCCTTCTCCCCCAGCATGTGCAGTTGGCCTCCAAGCCATGGAGTGAACCTCCTGGTACTTATCTCGGCTATTCTTGGGGCTACCACAACCTTTAACCTCTGCTTCTTAAATTTTAGATCACCGTTCATGCTGTTTGGTGACAGACATGCTCTTGGACCTGTCCATCCAACGTTTTCACCTGTTAACTCAGACATGGTCACAGATGCTTAGCAGTGGAAATGAGTTCAACCCTTAATTCTGAGACCACCTCACTCTGTGACCTCAGGAAAGCATGACATCTGGTCCATGAAACAAAATGTTGAAAATGGGAGCATAAATAATGGATAGTTTCATACCCCTTCAACTCACTCTCCGGAAAGAGATGAAAACATGCACATTATCTTACCCATGTGGGTCAGGGAGCTGTTGCTCTGTGTTTCTGCCAGAGAAATCGATCATTTCAGCTATTTTAAGAAGAAATTGAAACATGGCAGGGAACCATAAAGCCTGGTGGCACCATTCGTGGTTTAGGGCGAAGGAAAACTCTCTTTGGACATTCTAGGAAGGCAATTTTATTCAACTTGAGTTTAGAAGAAGAGTTAAGAAATGCAATATTTTTATAGGTAAAAGGTAAAAGGTAAAAGGGCTGCAGCGATAGCACAGCGGGTAGGGCGTCTGCCTTGCACGCAGCCAACATGGCCAACCCGAGTTCGATTCCTCTGCCCCTCTCGGAGAGCCCGGCAAGCTACCGAGAGTAGTCGATATGCCAGACACAGTAACAACAAAGTCTCCAATGGAGACGTTACTGGGCCCGCTCGAGCAAATCGACGATCAACGGGAGGGCCTTTTATTTTTATAGAATTCCTACAAATTGAAAGGGACACTTCTGAGGAAATGCTGCTAGATGGACTCCAGGTGAGCGAGCATCAGAAGATAGCTTGGAGGGAGAAGGGTGGGATGATGGGGCCAAACATCTGGCCAAGCCTCCTCAGACCAGAAGGTGGATCTTTTGCAGGATTCCAGGCAGCCAAACATCACTGGTCCGCCAGCTGTGACCTTCACCTTGGCTCCAGACTTGAGATGCCCGGGAGGGGAGAAAAGGGGGGTATGAAGGTGGGAAACATTTGGAGAACCAATGTTGGGCTCTGAATGAGGTGACGGGGGTTCAGAGAACTCTAGGGCTACCCGCAATGGAGAAAGTTCTTTCACTCGGACCAGTCCTGTGACAGTATGATGGAGCTTCACTTCCAGTCTGGAAGAGGTCACTGCACCTGCCCAAGTCATACAGGTGGCAAATGGCATTGTAGGACTTTGGACCCAGACAGGCAATCTCTTCAGAGCACTCATTTCTACCCAATACCATTGCTTCTGGGGGAACAAACAAGCTTTCTGTTGTGCTCTTGGGTCAGGGAGAGGAGCCAGGGGGTGGGGGGTCATGTTGTTCTGGCATCAGGGATGCTGGTGACCATGTAGGGAAACGAGAGCTGAAGGCTGCATAAAGGAAGTCATCCCTCCCCTCTCAGCTGCAGATTTCCCTATGGAGGCTCATTTCCTAGAAAACTGTCTTCAGCCCCGGTGCTTCCTGGGAGGTTCCCTCTGTCTGGCTGGCTCTGTTCTGAATTTCTCCAATGAGATTGTATCTCCACCTGTTTTGAGGTTCAGGAGCTTGGACCTGTCCTACCTGTTCTCTGAGGGAGTGGAGTGGCTAATCTGGGTGGCGTATGTTGTTCCTCATGACAGCGTCCCACCTGCGATAATCCCTAGGGACTCTTCTGACACCACCCTGGGGTTCTCTGCCACTTCTCCCTAAGCACACCCTAGTGCTCCGGTCCGAAGGGGGCCCAGGTGGGATTACTCTCAAGGCTGCAGGCACCCATGGGGGCTGCGGGAACATGGGAGTCTACGGGGTGGGTGTGAAGCAATCGCCTGAGGTATAATGGTCAGTCCAGGACAGGGAGAGCCGCCATACCTTGGCTTGGTTCACTGAACACAGCAGCTGCCTGGGAACCGGAGTCTTTATAAAAGTCTTTATGAAAATGCAAAACGGGGCCAAAATAAACACATAAAACATCCTTAACAAGCCAGACAGAGTTTGCACATGTACTTTTCCTTAAGATGCTTTATCAATTAGAGACCAGAGATTTTTCCTGATGATATTTATTTCATAAATGTAATTATTTTTCTAAAACATATTAAAATAGAAAACATGTTCTTTTGATCAGTTTATACAAAGAAAATACCAATATAGTAATAAAAATACTGAAAAAATAGGAAAAGCACCAGAACATTAGAGAAATTACACTGGCAACAATCCTAGGAATATATTTTTTCTTGCAATTGTACAATAAAGTGCTATTAAGTCCAGTCAAAATTAGTGGCAAGATATAAAACGTTTTTATGGTATTATGAACTTTGAGGCTGGGTTAACAGCAATTGGTAGTTTTTAGATTACTTGCAGATCAAGCTAATGACATTTCACGGATGTTTTTGTGAAAAGTTATTTTCATCCTTAGGTGAAAACAGCTCAATTCTTGTTGGTCCTTGGTAATTTGGTCATAAACAGGCAACTGATACGATTAAAAATAACTTAATTGTACAAATTGTGACAAAAATCAACTGATAAACGGAATCAGATCAAATTTAACGAAAAAGATCAGTCAAGAGAGATAACAAAAATTTAAATGCTTTTGATCTATAGTTCAGTTTCAGCAATTCTGATTAGTCACATATAATACACACAACACCAATGATAACATGACATTAGATTCATTTGAACAGACAGCGAGGAAGACTGGTGAGTTGCCGTATTTTTATATAAACCATTAAAAGGACACTGTTAGGACAGTACATTTCAGTATTGACTGTTGCCTTGTTTATTTGCCAAGGAACATGAAACACACAAAGACTTTGGGATTCGATGATACAAAAGCCAAGGATTTTAACATGTACTGGAAGCCCTGTGTGGTCACAGGGAGTCATTACGGATAGTACTTAGGGTGAACTCCAGTCCTTTTCCCGTCTGGAGTTGGCAAACTGAAACAGAAAAACCCAAAGGAAGACAAAGGATCAGAGCAGTGTCCTTTTAAGGTTTTCTTTCCGAGGTTAATTTCAGAGGGATGTGACTGTATCATTCATTTTGCATAATTCAATTTTGGAATTATCAGCCTCTCAAGATGAAAGCCACCCAAACTATACCTCAGAAGAAAAAAAAAATCTCCAAACATAGCTCAATCAAAACTCAGAATTTATTTCACAGCCAGACTATATATATTTTTTGTTCAAATCAGAGATTTACATGTGAACCAACATGGACTGAAACCAGTCATACTAATGAGAAAACACTGATTTCATGATTCTGTGTTCCTGCGGTGGAATTTGGGCAACATTTTCAGTGTGATTATGAAGGCTGAGTATCCAGCATGACAATTAGCCCTGGTCTGAAGGGTTTACAGTCCATCAGGAGTTCAATTTTTCTCTCTTTAATGGAGAACTGACACTTGAACCTCGACTCTCCCCCACTCCCCAGATAGATACGTCAGTCTTCTGTCAAGTGCCCTTCTTATGGGTGATTTTAACAAGGAACTGAAATGTAAACTGTATTGCAAGGCCTCTCAATAACTTTCCCAAACATTTTCTATGTCTTTTCATTCAGAAATCAAGCCAAAGGGGCGCTATCCAGCCAGGGAGCAACAAGGAGCTGTGGAAGAAGGGGAGACCCAACGTTTCCCTTCTGGTCATTATTAACAGTGAAATTCAAGGAAAGTCCAACCAGACTCTTGGCTTTCCAAGTTCTACCCAAGTGGGTGTTCATGAAACGTCTGAGATTAAAAGGCAGGCTATTGAAGAATACGGAATAAGAAACAAAGGCTGAAAGTGGTTTGGCATTGAATGGTTTTACATTCCCAAAGAATATTAAGTATCACCTGGAAATAATTTCCAAAATTACAAAGTCATGATTTACTTAAATTAGTCTATTCCCCGCCCCGCCCAATGTACATATTCTCTATTTACATAGTATAGTATAGAAAAGATACTAAGTTGGCTCCACTACAATAATTCTACCCAAAAAAAGCAGATTACATTTCTTGGCTGCAACAAAGCATGTTACTTATACTTTTTACCATTCGGCTAACGTATATACATTATAAAACGTAAGCTTTACGAACTACTCAAATCAAAAGGAAAAAATAAATTATATTTAAACAATTAATTCACATAACAAAAAATGCCTTACTAACTAGCCTCTGAAATAATCAGCTTCTTTAACATTTCCTTATTCTAGCAGTTCCTCGTCAGGACATGTCTCATTTTCGTTCTAAGTGGTTCTCACACTTCCTGGTAGAAGCACACATGCGCAGCATGGTTAGTAGCATGGTGAAGTTTTGGCTCTGTTACTCTTTCCAACTAATGAGCGAGGAGTCTTGTTTCTACGGAGCACCACCGTCTTTAACTGTGCGACAAATAGAAGAGAGAGATGACGAAAGCAAGGGAGAGCACTGTTACTGAGAGCAGCAGCTGCTGGAACCAGAGACAGCGCTGAACTTGGTCTTCAAGCTTCCTATTACTTTCTAGTATACGACTGAGCTAAAGAGGGAGAAAAGGATGAAAGATTCGAATCAATAAAATCGTAATTATTCAGGTGAGTCACATACAGAAATATCAGACACCCCTCAGACAGGAATATGAGGAATCCAAACATTTGGGAGATGGGGGTCCTTCTACTTTGCAATAATGGCAAGAGGAAATGCAAGGAGAAATTGGTGATCAGAATGTACTTGCTCTCTCTGACATTCAAAGGCACTTTGCTCAGAACATTAAATTCTTTGAACATCCCCCAAGCACCGTGTGCTTTTCTTTCTTGGTCCAGAGGAAAAATGAGGAACTCAGGCTTATCCCTGCTGAGTTGCCTTCCCTTCACAGATCTGTCATTTCTGTGTCAAAGGTTCTTCTTATGTCATAGAGATCTCGTGTCGATTAGCGTGAACAACTTTTAGTTAGGAAGGAGGAGCACTTACTTGTAGAGCTATGTCTTCACTGGTTTTATCGGACTGGCCAAAGGAGTGGTCCTTTAGTATCAGAGTGTTAGGCTTACTGCTCTCGATCACGTGGCATCTTAACCTGTGAAAACCCAAAGGAACCACATTGGGTTGGGGTGGGGGGGCCACTTAAAGTAAGCATTCCGGTCTTTTAAGCTATTTTCTTTGAGTGAAATTCAACTTCTTAACAGCTGGGTGTGCAAGAGGCCCTGGAACCCCTTCCAGTGATTCTTGGACAGAAAGGGCTGTTGGTCAAAGGTAAGAGCCTGAGTATGTGGAGCAACATGGACCCTGCAGTGTCAGGGATTACTCAGTCTACCCCAGGATCAAATTGGGGTTGGCTGCATGCAAGGCATGCACCTTGCCTTTCTGTCTCTGATTTCTTAAAAAATTTTACTGCAATGTTTTTGGTTTGGTTTGGGGGCCACCCCTAGTGGTGCTCTGGGCTTACTCCTGGCTGTGCCCAGGGAATCACTCCTGGCTCTGTGCTGAGATCACTTTTGTCAGGCTTGGGGGACCACATGGGGTACCAGGGATTGAAACTGGGTCGGCGGCCATGTGCAAGGCAAATGCCCTACCTGCTGTACTATTGCTCCAGCCCTTATTAAAGTAAAGTAAAGTAAAGGCCCTCCCGTTGATCATCGATTTGCTCGAGCGGGCCCAGTAACGTCTCCATTGGAGACTTTGTTGTTACTGTGTCTGGCATATCGAATACTCTCGGTAGCTTGCCGGGCTCTCCGAGAGGGGCGGAGGAATCGAACTCGGGTCGGCCATGTTGGCTGCGTGCAAGGCAGACGCCCTACCCGCTGTGCTATCGCTCCAGGCCTTATTGTATTTTTTTAATAGTAGTCAAATATTAAGATAAAAAAGTTAAACAGAACTATATGCAACAGGAGGTGAAAAGATTCCTCTCCCCATATATACCTGGCTACATCAAGCTTAGAGGGAAAGAGCTCAGAATGTACCAAGTAGATTATGCCTTCTTGATATAAGGATTATCTTGTATTTATCTATTGTGGGGTTTGGGGCTACACCTGGCAGTGCTTAGAGCTTATTCTTGTCTTTGTCCTCAGGGATTATTCCTGGTAGGGCTTGAAAAAGAATATTCAAAGACCTTGGCTGACTGCTTTTGTAAGGCTCTTAACGGCATACTGCACGGAACCCAAAGCTCCAGAGCAGAGAAGTCATTTTGTTTCGTTTTAGGTGGAAATCTTCCTGATATAAAGCAAATCGTTTTTTAAGGTGCAACACACAGTTCCCCAGATTAAGAAGACATAACTCACTTACTGGCTTCTCTCCTGAATCGTCTCTAGTTGGCCACTAATTTTTACTATAGCTAGGGTTGGGAAGAAGGCTCAAAGGGATGCATGCACTTTTTTTTTTGCTTTCTGGGTCTCACCTGGCGATGCACAGGGGTTGCTCCTGGTTCTGCACTCAGGAGTTACTCCTGGCGGTGCTCAGGGGACCATATGGGATGCTGGGAATTGAACCTGGGTCGGCCGTGTGCAAGGCAAACGCCCTACCCGCTGTGCTATCTCTCCAGCCCGTGCACGCTTTTTCTACGTGGAAGTTCTGGATTTAATTCCCTGCAGTGCACGTGATACTCCCCCAAACTCCCCCATAGGCTACACTGGGCGCAGAGGTAGTGTAGAAGTGAGGTGCATGTATATATTTAAACCCCTGTGAGCATGAGACGCACATTACCACAACCAAACTTTTAATATGGTCCTATTAAGGAGGCGGAGGAAGGGGGACCTAGGGACATGGGTGGAGGGAACCGGACACTGGTGGTGGGGTTGGTGTGGGAACATTGTATACCTGCAAACCTCTTCTGAGCAACTTTGTAAACCACGGTGCCTTAATAGAAAATTCTTAAAAACTATGTTGTTGCGTGAGCGATCACTCCCTCGGTCCTCAATCAGGGCAATACTGGGATTGACAGCAATTCCATCTTGAAAATCTTTACCAAACCAGAAACGGAGCTCAAGAATTAATTCAAAGTCCACCTAGATTTACCAACCCCAAGCCCCCCCCCCCACTTCATTTCAAAATCCTAAATGGTACTATAAAAGACCAGGACATTGAGAAAATAACTATCTAGTACTTAAGTATAAAAGATAATGCAGACAGTAATTACTAAAAGTCTCTGATAATGAGTAACTGTACCAACTACTCCTAGAAGAAAATCTGGATATATTCTTGAGTCTTTTAAATATAGATTTTCTCTTTTACTTTTTTGGCCACATCAGCTGTGTTTATTCCTGGCTCTGCGCTCAGGGGTCACTCTCCAGTCATTCTGTGCTCTGGGAACCATATGCAGTGCCAGGGAATGGACTATATTAGCTATTAGTCATGAGCACGGAATGTACCTATTTCCTGTACTATCTCTCCAGCTACAGAAACGTACATTTTCTTTTTATCTTTTCTTTTTTTTTGGGGGGGGGCACATCCGGTGGTGCTCAGGGTTAACTTGGCTCGGCACTGAAGGATCACCCTTGGCAAGGCTGGGGGGACCATGCAGGGTGTTGGGGATCAAACCTGGGCTGTATGCAAGGCTAGCACCCTCCCCCTGGTGTACTATCTCTCCAGCCTCTGAAACATAAATTTCTTGTCTTATTTTCTGTAGGTCCTGATATCCAGTTTTCTGAAATGCAAACTTTTGGGAAATGATGCTCATCAAGGAATTATTTGAAAATGAAGAAACAGAAATAAATATATTATTTAAAAATAAAAACTATGACCAGATGAGTAGGTAAACTTATTTCAATGGTCAGAAACACAATTTGTACGCAACTGTTCTTTTATTTTAGTGAGTTGTGATTAATATACCTAATTGACGGCTAACATTTAGAGATTTGAAGTCTCTGTTTATGTGTTTTTCCATCAATATATGTCACAGGCGTGGTATTTTTCCATTTAAAGATGGTACTGCTAAAAACTTCAAAAGCTCTACTTAATTGGCTCCAAGAAAAAGAAGTGCTTATCAAATTAAGTAGACCTAACCCTCTCAAAAAGACAGAAATGAAAAGAAAGAACAAAATCTGAGAAAATCCTTAGTAAATAAAAGCTTGGTTAAATGGTCGGATAAATTAAAATAGGCACGTCTTTAGGGCTGTCAGCATGAGAAATAATGCAGACATGCAACTTGTATCCTGGCTGAACTACTCAATAGCAAGTTATAAAATAAATTTTTGTTTTATCTGTCAGCAAGAAAAACAGCTTGGGCTGAGGGCTGAATTTTTTTGTCTGCTGGGACCAAGTGACTTGACAAAGGGAGATGCAAATCAAAAGAACAAAGAGATATCATCTCACACCACAGAAACTGGCACACATCAAAAAAGAACAAGAACAACCAGTGGTAACGCAGATGTGGGGAGAAAGGAACTTTCTTTCACTGTTGGTGGGAATGCCGACTGGTTCAGCCCTTTTGGAAAACAGTATGGACGATTCTCAAAAAATTGAAATTGAGCTCCTATTTGACCCAGCAATACCACTTCTGGGAATATATCCTGAGGGTGCAAAAAGCATAGTAAAAATGACATCTGCACCTGTATGTTCATTGCAGCATTGTTCACAATAGCCAGAATCTGGAAAAAACCTGAGTGCCTGAGAACAGATGACTGGTTAAAGAAACCTGGGTCCATCCACACAATGGAGTACTATGCAGCTGTTAGGGAAGATGAAGTCATGAAATTTTCTCATACGTGGATGATCATGGAGAGTATCATGCTAAGTAAAATGAGTGAGAAAGAGAGGGACAGACATGGAATGACTGCACTCATTTGTGGAATATAAAATGAATGTCGTCATAAGTCAATGATGGTTGGAGGGATTGCTCAGGATGGGAGATGTGTGCTGAAAGTAGATAAAGGACCAAACATGATGGCCTCTTAGTATCTGTATTGAAAACCATAATGCCCATAAGTAGAGAGAGAGAGAGTACAAGGGAAACTGTCTGCCATAGAAGCAGGGGTAGGGGTGGGATTGGGGGGCAGGGATACTGGGGACATTGGTGGTAGAAAATGTACACTGGTGGAGGGATGGGTGTTTGATCATTGTATGACTGAAACTCGAACATGAAAGCTTTTAAAGTGTAGCTCACGGTGATACAATAAAAAAAGTAAATGGGACAAGTTTTATGTGAATTTTTCAGTCGCCATGTTTTATGGTATGTCTATGTGAAAAACATTCCAACTCTCTGGTAACTTGAACCTTAAGTATTGCTAAGTTAAATGAAATTGAAACAGTATCTTCATCATTTTTAAATAGGTACTTCATCACTAAGCAGTTATCTACTATGTGGTTTCTTATTACAGAGGAATAAAGAATCTTGTTAGGAAACATCTCTTGGGCCAAACTGAAAAATTACAAGAAGAGGAAGCATCTACTTCTAGAAAGGGGCCAATTTATCAGCACATTTTATAATCTAAAGAATAGTGGTGTGGGTTATTCAAAGTCTACCTGAATACCCAATGATATTCATCAAAGACCTTCCGACTGCAAGATACTGTGACTCTGACAAATCTGGAAATTTGGGGCTGGCTGCCCTCACGCCAGGCTTAATGCTCAGCTTTGGTTCTTAACCTTAGCTTTCATTTCATTTGATAAAAACGCCTTACGCTACCCCCAATGTTTCATCCAGCTGCATCAGTACCTCTGAAGTCAGACACAACTCCGCAACTGGCATTTTCAGGAACAAGACTAGTTCCACGATAGATGAAACAACTTTACTAACTCTATTTCTGGCCTAGTGACGATTCTTAGGGAAGCGAAAGGGGTAGAACTGGAGGGGAATAGAATTTGCCACCCTTAGTTATGCTGTGGCAGAAAGACGATCGGGTTGCAAGACTATCTTTTTGTTTTGTTTTGGGGCCACACTGTTGTGGTTTTGGGGGAATCATGTGGTGCTGGAGACCAAAGTTTTACTGAGGATAGAACCAGGGTTGGCTGTGGGCAAAGGAAGTGCCTGAACCTCTGTTCTATCTCTCCAACCCCCTTAATTCTTTTTTTTTCCTTAAATTTTTATTAGTGAAACCCCATGAGGTACAGTTGTAGACTTACAAATTTTTGTGCTTGGGTTTCAGTTATACAATGATCGAATACCCATCCCTCCACCAGTGCCCATTCTCCACCACCACCAGTCCCAGTATCCCTCCCACCCCCCTTCCCCTCATCCCACTCTACCACTGTGGCAGGGCATTCCCTTTTGTTATCTCTCTCCTTTTGAGTGCTGTGGTTTGCAAAAGAGACATTGAGTGGCAATCATGTTCGGTCTAGAGTCTACTTTCAGCATGCATCTCCCATCCTGGGAGGATCCTCCCAACACCCTTTATTTGGTGCTCCCTCCTCTATCTGAGCTGCCTTTTCCCCTAGCGTGTGTAGCTGTCCTCAAAGCCATGGAGTAATCCTCCTGGTACTTATCTCGCCAGCCCCCTTAATTCTTAATTATAAATTATTCTCATCCCTGAGGGACCATTTCCTAAGAACTGCAAATTAACTTCCATCTTTTATACCAGTGTTTCCTTAAGTTTTCCACTATTTCCCAAGCCATGTCTTTGACAAAAGTCAAAGTGAATGAATAAAGCAGGCCCTCTCTTCTCACCTGAAATCTTATATCTGAATGCACCATCCTAAAAACCAATTCAAATCCATCCCCACCTCTTCCCCCTTGAGTTGTCCATGTGGGCACCTCAGATTGTGTATCTAGCAGCCTCCCCTTCTCAAAGGGTCCTTGCTGTAGTTTCAGAGGATGTTCCAATCCCACCCACTACAAACCACGAATCAAACCACCTTCCACCAGCAACGCACCCTTCCCTCCCTAGAAGACCTCAGGCCCTCCCAGTGAGCACTGCAGGAGTCTCACGCCCCGTCTCCTCTGCATCCTGCTCTCCAACACGGAGCTCCTTGCCCCGGAAGTGCTCTCTGTAAGGTCATCAGTGAGTTCTGTTGGAACTCGGGCCCATCCTGATTTGTGCCCTGATGAGTGAGTTTTTTGAGGCCGGGCCCAGCCCTTTTTCATCCCGCACTTGCTGCCTCTCACAGCCCTGGCCCCGAGGAGGCAGCTTGAGCCCTACCTAATGCGAGAGGGCCTGGCTGCTTACCGGTGGAGACCTCCCTGTTTTGCCATGGGGTCCTGCCCGCCTTGGGAGCCCTCGAGGAGAAAGCATACCTGTGCTCCATCACTTTGTTCCTTGGAACTTCTTTCCAGAAATTACTCAGTTCGGCTGTGCCTGTGCCACATGGCTGCTCCATTTCTGCGGCCATGATGAGGAAGCGGTCTTGGGCAGAGACTGTTAAACCTGGATTCCGAAAGCACAATTCACTGTGGGCCCCAGAGATAGCCCCAGATAGGGGTGTAGGAGCTGGCCCTGTTCAATGCCCCACATCACACAGTCTCCCGAGCACTGAATCAGGAGTGGCTCTCAGGCACTGCTGGGTGTGACCCACCCCGCACCCCAGAGGAACGCTTTTTTCCAAACATGCTTTTTTTTCCAAACGCATGTTTCTAAAGGTTTAGATACCTAGTTTGAGGCCGTCTGGAATATAACACCAAGGGGGGAAAGAATATGGAATTACCTTCAAACAGAAGAAACTTGGGGCCAAAGAGATCATATAGGGTACAGTAGGTTATATAGGCTGCGTTACACAGGGCTGACCTGGGCTTTATCCCTAGCATCCCTTAGAGTCTCCTGAGCCCACTAATGACCACTGCTGGGATGGCTCCCACACAAAATGAAATTGGAAAAAGGAGAAACTTCTCCAAAGCAGGGTTTTGCTTTCAGCTATCGCTGTGGTGCCAGGAATCAACCTCAGGGCATCTCCGGCTAAGCCAGACTTCCACACTGAGGACATTATTTTTGAAATTCAATTTCTTTTTTTTTCTTTTTGGGTCACACTCGGTGATGCACAGGGGTACTCCTGCCTCATGTACTCAGAAATTACTTGTGGAGGTGCTCGGGGGACCCTATGGGACTCTGGGACTAGAACCTGGGTCAGCCGTGTGCAAGGCAAACACCATACCCACTGTGCTATCGCTCCAGCCCCTTGAAATTCAATTTCAAGTGGCGTTAGTTTAAACAACTGTATTCCTTGAAAACGTTCTGACCGATTTTCCTGCTGCAAAGGCTTCACAGAAGCATCAGCCTGCCACTCCCACCCTCCATGGCGCCCGCCCGCCTGCAGGAGGTCACGCACCCCCGTGGGGAGACACCACGATGTCAACTGACGCTCCAGGGTCGCAGCTGCTGTTGCTGGGCTTGACTCGGTATTTTTCTGGTGCAGTGGTTCTCACCTGTTTATAAACACAGTGCTCATCTATTAGCCTTTCTGCTTGGGGGGAAACAGCCAAAAAAGAACTTCAAACAAACAGCCAGTTCATGACGTTTATAAGTCAAAGTGAAACCAAAACCAAGCAAGGGCTGGTATCGCAGTTAAGGCACTAGTCTTGGATATGGCAGACTGGTTACCTGTTACCCTCCACCTATTCCCGCAAAAACCCCCAGAAAACCACATTTGTGAATACAAAGAGAATGCATCCTTCCCATCGAGAAGAAACAGGCCTCTCTATTTAAAAGAATTTACGCTCTCAAATTAATCCATAAGGTAAAGGTAAAGGCCCTCCCGTTGATCGTCGATTTGCTCGAGCGGGCCCAGTAACGTCTCCATTGGAGACTTTGTTGTTACTGTGTCTGGCATATCGAATACTCTTGGTAGCTTGCCGGGCTCTCCGAGAGGGGCGGAGGAATTGAACTCGGGTCGGCCATGTTGGCCGCTTGTAAGGCGAACGCCCTACCCACTGTGCTATCTGGGTTAAATATTGCGTCCGCTAATTGCCTCCCTTTAACAGATGAAAATTGAATGCACACTAGAGTGCAAACTACATAATGTTCAGGAACAAAAAACAGTAGTTTAGTCAAAGGACATCCTAGTTAAATCTAAATTAGTTTATTTAAGGAAGCAGTAAGTAAAGTAAAGGCCCTCCCATTGATCATCGATTTGCTCGAGCGGGCCCAGTAACGTCTCCATTGGAGACTTTGTTGTTACTGTGCTTGGCATATCGAATACGTCACGGGGAGCTTGCCAGGCTCTGCCGTGCGGGCGAGATACTCTCGGTAGCTTGCCGGGCTCTCCGAGAGGGGCGGAGGAATCGAACTCGGGTCGGCCAGTAAAACCTGGTCTTCCTCCACTTAGCACTCAGGATCTGGCTGGTAACCAGTAGAAACTAGACTCTGAATATACCACACTTGGAAGAAAGTAGAGCTTCAATGAATTGTTACAGTTTTAGCTTTCACTGTGGTTGTGAATTAAATTATCCATTTAATGATGAGTGATTTTCTTTGGATTTTTAAATTACAATAAACATTAAATCGCTGGACTAACTTGCATATTTGCCTAGCACTATACATTAAAAACTGAGATATTCATCTGAGGGAAAATTTTACATAAGCTACATCCCCATGGTTAGAACTAGCAGGCAGTAAAACACATCTAAATACAATCACAAATAAAACCAAGTTCATAAAGGTTAGTCTTTGCTTTAAGTGACATGTTTAAAAATCACTTTCCATGTCATACCTCCATACATCTTCCAGATAGTTACCTTAAAAGCCACAATATTTTTAGTCACATTTGTCAATATTATTAAAGTTTTCTTCTCTCCAGAGCCTGCACTTCCAAAATACAATTCTTCCGCTGGGCTAAGTCATGACAAAGACATAAGTCATTTATATTATTCAAAACAAATGACAGTGTAATCATTTACAGAAAGAAAATTATCCGGCTAATACTCATGTTCATTTGTACAGAGATTTCATCAAAGAAGAAAAGATTATAAAACAACTACCTAATATATTTTGCCTCTTAATCCTATTGATCCAATGCCTGGTATATAAAAAGTCTACAAAAAGTATATAAAAAGGCTTCCCTCAAGATCAAAGCAAAATAGGAAGGAATAGACAATAAAAAGATTTTGGATTTGGTCTATTATTAGCACTATCTGTTTTTTCAGACCCTCGTCACTTTTATTGCAGTAATGTCTTCATGTGGCTAATTTATAAATAAATCTTCATCGCAGGCCAGTATGTATAGTAAAAGCCACGGTATGTACAAGGCTCAGGACTGTCTAACGTTGCAGGCACCTGCTGGGGGTCTTGGAAAGTGCGTCCATATAATGTTGCACTTCTAGAACTGCAAGGACATGCTAAGGGACCAAATATATTTAGACTTTACATCATACAGTTGTAGAGCCCGTGGGACTGGACATATCCGTACATTGTGATATACATGTTTTTATGTGTTGATATGACGATGCTTAAGAATTCCTTCTAAGATCTGCTTCTCTACGACATCCTTGCTAGTTATCTGGAATTCTGTTTTCCTGCATCCTCCACTTAAACTTATAGCATCATCTTAAGGTTCATCAGTTTAGCTCTTTGGAAGGTTCCACAGGTAACAAGTCAGAGAAAGACATACTGTAATTTCAACTTTCTCTAATGACAAGCAGATCAGGAGCAGATTTTCATATGCCAGCAGAGTGCAGTTTCCAAAGGAAGTTCATTGGAGGTGTATTTAAGTAACAATTTCTTACTATTTAAAGCCACTGACTAATTGGGAAGGAGAGAATTAAAGACAACAGTTGGGGTAGAAAGTGCAGAAAACCTTATCAAAGAGTGAGTGAGTCTCATATGTAAGAGTCACTATTACTCCTGGCTGCTGCAATGTCTGACTGGAAACACAGTGAAAAGCCTTGAGCTCAGTTTGGAGAGCTGAATCCCACAGCCAAACTGGATCGGGTGCTTTTATACAGCGAGAAGGTCAGGAACTTTCTTTTAGATAGAGGCAGAGTCTTCAAGTAGCCCTTGACTCGGAAGGTCCTCTTTTTTTAAAAAAAAAATATTTGTAATGCTTTTTGGGTCACACCCGGGAATGCACAGGGGTTACTCCTGGTTCCGCACTCTGGAATTAGTTCTGGTGGTGCTCAGGGGACCATGTGGGATGCTGGAAATAGAACCCGGGTTGGCTGCGTGCAAGGCAAACGCCCTACCCACTGTGCTATTGCTCCAGACTTGGAAGTTCCTCTTGAAATAGATGCGCTTGGTTATCAGAAAGGTGGGCCTACAGGAGGGACTTATTCAGCCAGATCCCACTTTCTCAGGAGGGTTCTTCCCAGCTTTGGAGAGGAGGGTCACTTAGCATGATTGCTGACTTCCTTCTCAGAAAGATCAGGTGGTTACAGAGCTCAGTAACCGGCACAGAAACCCTGTGAACCGCTGCAGAGACAGATGTTGGTTGGGCTGCGGAGCGTGAGAATCTGTTCTGGCTTTCCCTGGGGTGGAGACAGGGAGTGGCAGGGCCCAAAGTGCTGCCCCAGAGACTGCCCCGCCCCTGGCTTTCTTCAGCTTGACTTCACCCTTTATAAACCAGGAGTGATGGTTTTGACAGACCTCCAAGGGCAAAAACTGAAGAAGCAAGTTCTGCGCCAGTAGGGGGCCAAAATATATTTGCATATATTTATTATGTATGCACTATAGTTGCTTATATAAATATATATATACATATATAAATGTGGTAATAAGCAACAAAGAAAACTTAGAAGACAACAACCCTTTTCTCTCTCAGATTCAGTTTTTTAAAATGTGGCTGTATTGTTCAGAAAAGACAAATGGGACAAAATTACATAGAAAGGTTTCAATATATAGGATAAAATAATACTTTCGCTTGTCACCAAATAAAGCTGGTATGGAAACAGGATGAAAAGATTACCCAAAAGAAGCATCATTAGCAACAAAAAGATATTTACATAATGACAAAAACAATGCTGAAATTTTTTTTTGTCAAATAACCTAGAAACGAAAATAGAGATAGGCTAAAACTTGAGTTGAATAAAAACTTTTTTTCTTAACTCAGCTTTGGCTTCTGGAAGGTCAAATCGATAAATGCCATTTCTGGCATCCTCAATGTTTTTTGCAAGACTAATAATATCAGTAAAAAGAGAAATGGCATTCAGATTAACTGCTAATAATCAATATTCACTTTTATTGCCTAATGTAGGATAAGGGCCCTTTCAATAAAATTAGTGGGATGAACACCTTAAATGTTTACTATATCTGGAGACCAAGGTAAATCTTCACATAACCATTATGTTTGTATTTCCATTCTTTAAAAAACAGTACTATGTGTGGAGCAGAGGATAGGTAAGACAGAGAAGGGAACAGTATGACAATAACAGCTGGACATGATCATGGTAGACAAGAACTGAGTGCTGAAAGTAGGTAAAGAGACATGACAACCTTTCAGGCTATGTATTGCAGACCACAATGAGGAGATCAGAGAGGAGAGGAAGAGAGAGAGGAGAGGGAGGAGAAGAGAGAAGGGAGAGGAAAAGACAGAGAGAGGAGAGGAGAAGAGAAAGGGGAAAGGAGGAGAGAGAGAGGGGGGAGTGAAGAAGAGAGAGGGGAGAAGAAAAGAGAGAGGAGGAGAGAGAAAGAAAGAGAGAGAGAGAGGAGAGAGAGAGAGAGAGAGAGAGAGAGAGAGAGAGAGAGAGAGAAGAAAACTGCCTGCCATAGAGGCAGGGGGTTGGGGATAATGGGAGGAAACCTGGGGACACTGGTGGAGGGATGGGTATTTGAACACTGTGTAACTGAAGTCTAATCATGAACAGCTTTGTAAGGATCTATCTCAGTGATTCAATAAAGAAGTAAATAAATAAATAAATAAAAATAAAAAAACCAGTACAGAGGCCTGCTTGATTTTAAGTTCTTACAAGATGATTAAGTTATAAAAGCATAGCTAATAAAATCCTTGAGTGTTACCTGATGTGTAGTAAGGGCCCTTTAAACACACTCAGTGGTTTCTTGAAAGTTTTCGTTTTGGAATCAACTTTTTCGCTTTCTTCTTTAGTTATGTTGATCTGAAGACAACACATGAAGCAAAGAAATTTCGTTTCACAATGACAGATGAGCGAGTTATTTGGTAAAAAAGTAAACACGACATTGGGTTCAATGCAAATTGCACTCTGACAAATTTATTGTCTCAATTATATGCTTAATGAACTTTATCACGACCATTAACATAGTTGAGAGTCTTTTATAAATAGGTCACTGTAGAAAATACAAACTGCTCCTTTCCTAAGGAGTCTTTAAATGTGTTCTAAATTATATTTATCAAGCCACTGATGATTCACAGAATGATGACAATTAAGTGCTTATTTTATAAATGAGAGGGCTGGGATTTGGCAAGAGTGCCAAGAACCCCACTGGGAGTGGCCTGCCCCCTGTTCCCCAGCACCAGTTCTGTGGGTCCCCTAAAACAAAAAAAAAATAAGAGGAAGTACTTGAAAGTGAAGTTCAAATGAATTCGTTTTTATTCTGTATAAATAAAAAAGTATTTTAGGTAGAATGATCCCTTCCAGGTATTTCCTGCCACTTTTTATACGAGATAGAGAATCCGGTAAAACCATTCCCTCCATGTACTTCCTGCTGATTGTTCTACCAGGGATGGAATCAGTCTTCAACACTCTCGGGCACTAGCAGCCACCAAGTGCCACCTACCTCTTTCTTTACACAGAGGTGAGGAAGGACAGCAAGGGAAGTGAACCGCTCCCAATGGCTTAGCCAGGTAAGTGGGAGAACTGGGGGCTAAGCCACGTGATTTGGCTTAGTTTCATTTTACTGTTAACATTACCTTTTTGGTAGCTGATGCTGGTTCTTCATTAGAAACTGTTTCCAAGGTTTCTTTACTATCACTCTCGGTGTCTTCTTTACTTGAGCCTTCATCCTCGCTGGCGATTGGCCCATTTTCACACAGGGGGGTCTGAAAGTCGTCATCTACTAGGGGAGGGTAGCTGTATTTAAAAGGGTCCTACGAGAAAGGAATGTTGGAGCAGCCTATTAAAGAGGTGAGAGAGGAATCATCCCCTTACTAAAGTTAACACATATTCCACCGGCCGAGAGATCAGACTCGATTATATTGTAACACGTCAAACAAAAGGAGCATTTTCAAGTGGGAAGGGCAATAAGTGGTATGGGGACACAGGCTAGCCTTTGGGAGAAATGCTAATTGAATCTTTAAGCTAACTCTTTTTTCAATTTTTTTTTGTTTTTTGGGTCATACCCAGCAATGCACAGGGGTTACTCCTGCCTCATGCACTCAGGAATTCCTCCTGGCAGTGCTTGGGGGACCATATGGGATGATGGGATTCGAACCTGGGTCGGCCATGTGCAAGGCAAACACCCTACCCACTGTGCTATTGCTCCAGCTCCTATAAGTTCACTCTTAATACTAAAAAGAATTCCAAGAAGATAAAAGCTTTCAATATACATGTGTAGATAACTATGATTGTATTGAGGGGAGCATCCCTGGTGATGCCTGGGGGTCCATGTAGTTCGAGTGATCACACATGAGTCACCTGCCTGCAAAGCACGTGCTCCAGTTCTTCGAGTGAGCAACCTGGTTCCTGTACCTACGCATGTTTAAAGCCACATAAATATAATAACGCTATATAAAGTGATTTAAAAAACACTGGTGTAACTCAGCAAATCAAATACCAACAAACTAAATACTTTACCAACTGAAAAATATTAAAAACGAAAGGCCTGGGAGATGGCACCAGGTGATAAGCACATGTTCTGCATGTAGGAACTCTGGGTTTGAGCCTCTGGTTCAATCCCTGGCAATGGTCCCACGTGGCCGTTGGAGCACTGCTAAGTTTGACTCAAAAAACAAAACTAGAAAGGAGAAAATTGTATATATATTTTAAAAAGACCACAACTGATGGGGTATGGTGCTGCCAGCAGGTCAATGTGAACCTGTGAGATGAGCGCATCAGCAGCCTGATGGTGCCTTCATACTTCTAGACACTCCAAAATTGCTGCTATGCCTCTGGCCAGACCCCAACAACTTGGGGCCAAGTTTACTAAGAAAGTAAGTGGCCAAAAGTTAGGTATGTGGGAGACACACCCACAAACCACCTCTGGCTCAGCTATATAATTGGAGGCAAGATCTCTCTGGTTCCTAATCAAACTGCTTAACGGCCATGATCCCAGAGACTCAGAAACAAATCTGAACCCAGCAGCTTTTGGCAGAAATGCACCTGGTCCTCACAGTAGGTTACTGGTGCCGGGCCACCCCAGGGGGGAAAGGGTGCTGTCCCTCCGCCTGCTCCCTCTTGGCGGCTTGGTGGTTGCCATCCTCCAGAGGCCATTGGACAGTCAGGTTTGGGCCCGCAGTGACAAGACATGCAGGGCCTCGCGGGATGGGGGTGGAGCCGGCCCTTTCCTCCCTGCCTCAACAAGACCCCAAATCGCCACCCATGAACGGCCTCTGGCTCCTGATCAAGCTGCTTAATGGCCATGATCCCAGAGACTCAGGAACAAATCTCAGAACCCAGCAGGTTTTGGCAGAAATCCCTCCAGATTCAATTGTTAAAATTTCGGAATTCCAAAATCGTCTGGCCACTACTGCGGCCATGTGACATCATATGTTATTCATAATCAGCAATAGAAAACAAATTGTCTATCGTTGCCTTTTTTTTTTGGCAGAACTGAGTATTGGGGTAAAATCCCAAATAATAATGGTGGGTCTGGAGTCGAAACATTGAATGTAATCAAAGTAGAGAGAGTAATGTGGAAGTCATCTGCCCCACAGGTAGGGGGAGGGTGTGGGATTGGGGTATACTAGGGTTTTTGGTGGTGGAGAATGGGAACTGGTGAAGGTGCGGGTGTTTCATTGTATGACCAAGACTTAAACCCGAAAGCTTTGTAACTGCTCTCATGGTGATTCAATAAATAAAATTATAAAAGGGGAAAAAAAGTAAGATGTAGTTCATGCCCAATTCAATTATCTTAATCAATGGCTGAATAACTAGCAATACTCCTACATTCTAAAAAAAAACTGAGAAAATATGTACCACACATGTCAGAAATAGAAAAAACCTTTTGTTAACAAAAATGACCCTTAACCAATGGAGGTCAGGGGCACTTCGGGGTGCCAATACTGGCCCAAATATCCGCATACAAAGTTTGACTTCACTAAATCTTAAGGACAGTCACCCCTTGCAACTACAGGGGATCGATTCAGGACTCTTTTCACTTGTGGGTTCTGAGCTACAAATATTCTTGGTTGGCTGAGCCCATGATTATGAAATCTGCAGATACAGAAGACTGCTTGTTGAAAAAAATCTATATATGTGACTTGCACAGTTCTTACTCAGGCGGCTAGTAGTAACTCTACAGACAAACCACCCAAAGTCATAACCAACAGAACCAGGATAAAAGGAATGATGAGTTTGTAGTAAAATCAAAGCTTGTCTTTTAAATTATTTTTAAAACCCCCACAATATCACTTACAAGAAATGTAAATGATTTTATTTCTAAAAGCTCATCTGTACAAACCACCATATGGGTGTACCAAGAGTTACTTACAGTGATAGTCATTTTGGCAACATTAGTAATGGCAAAAGATTAGAAAACAACTGATGGCCGTTGAAATGGAATTCATTAAATACACTGATATATCCTCAAAGTGAAATCTTCTGCCACAGTTAAAAGCAATAAGGTGCTTGAGAGATAGTATAGGGGATAGGGTGTTTGCCTTGGATGAGGTTGGCATGGATTTAATCCCTAGCACTATCCATGGTTTCCTGAGCACCACCAGAAATGATCCCTGAGCACAGGTCAGCAGTAAGACATGAACATCACTAGATGTGGCCCCAAAACCCAAACCAAAAATCAGAATGGAAAGACAGCACAAAGCGTAGGGGTGCATGCTTTACACCCAGTAGGCCTGGTTCGATTCCTGGCACCACAGGGTTCCCTGAGCACAGAGCCTGGAGTGTGTGACCCCCAAATAAACAAACAAAATTCAGACTTCTATATTCAAAATAGTGCACCCTGAAATCAAATATGACCAGGACACAACAAAACAATATATGGGGTTCACTGGCTATTCGTGAACAAAAGAATGGTTAGGAAATCTCTGGGAGGAGGAAGAGCAGTGGCTGCCTGTAGGAAGCGGCAGTGGGGGCGGGGTCTCACTGTGCTGCTAAACTTTGCTCATGCTTCATTTCCTAACAGAGGCCACTTCCGGCAGTCCTGGAAGGCCATGTATGCTGAGGATCAAACTCAGTGCCTTAAACCACATCGTCTAGGCTCTTTAAAAAAATTGTGGGGGTATCCATACCCCGCAAGCTAAAAAGCTCCTGGACTCACCTTCTCTTCAGACACAACAAATCAGCAATTCTGTGGATCAAGCCCTTTTCAGGGAGTGGACAGGAGAATCATCAGAAAGGGGGCCCAAGACCTGGTACCAAGGTTAAGCCTAGCAGGAGGTTGCAAAAGTGACCGCTAGGCCCTGATCACGGCAGGGCATGGAGCCCAAACAAAAACAACAAAGAAAGCATCTGTAGGGAAGAAAAGGTTGAAGAGCATCTTGCCACACCCAGGCAGAGTCCCCCTCTCTAGGGACTGAGGGGCTGCCTTGGCCCCATCCCCTTGGTGGGATAGTGCACAGGACTCAATTCTAAGGAAATATGGACAGACCCCTGGGCAGGATTTACAGGAGATGAGGAAGGAGTGACAGGTCTGCCCCCGGAACAGGACACTGCAGAGAGAGGAGCAGGGCCCTATTCCTCTGTGATTCATGCCCTGCTTGGGGCTCGGGGAAAACTGCATCTGGTCTGAGTTCCCTCTGAGGATTGTACGGGGAGTGCTGGTCCACAGCATCCCCGGAACACCCCTCCCTCCCGCATCTAAAGATGCTCCACTATTCCAGTCCGGGCCTGCAGGCCTAGCCCACAGCCTCCCACAGCCTCCAGGAGGAAGCTGTGGGCTCAGCCCCAGTCTGAAAAGGCCAAGGGAACACCTCCTTCTGCAGAAGCTAAGCCCCAGAGCTGACAAGTACATGCAGAGCCTTTCAGCAGTCCCTGGGGAGGCTGGTGCCCAAGGCACCCTGCAGCCACCTCCAAGGTTCCCGCAGCTCTAGAGGCTGACTTCCCTGGCAGCCACATGGTACTGAGGAGTCAGCCTCCATAGCAGCAGAGAGCCCAGCACGGGGGCCAACAAGTCAATACACCAGGAATGGGAAAGAGAGAGGTTTCACAGGACCCCTGGGAGTAGAGTGCCAAGACAAAACGAGGGCACAGAGGTATAAAGCCCAAATGACAGAAGGAGACAAAGTCCTAGGGGAAGTTCCTAATCCAAACAGAGACAATCACCAGTGTGCGTGGATGAGCTGAAAAACAAAGGCCAACTTTCTGCTCTGTACAGGAAGCCATCCAAGAAAGAGTCAGAGCAAAACACTCATGACTGAAAAACAATCCTAGAAGCAAATGGGTACAGGTCAGTAAAAACAGACTTTGGTTCAAAAAAGTAAGAAGAAATATGGATGGATGGATGTTATATGAAAAATGAGGAGTCAATTCATCAAGAAGACAGAACAGTCACTACTGCATATTTACCAAACAGAGTAGTGTTGAAACATATAATTATTAACAGAACTAGAGCCACTGATAATGCCGATATAATAGCAGGGTGTTGAACATTCCATTCAGATCAGGGGAATGTCGGCCAGACAGAAAACTGACAAGGAAACAATAAGCAGATGGACTGAGCAGACATATATAGAATGCATATGTGTTCGCATCACACATTTATGATTCACTTCTAGACAATAGAATACTATACACAAGAGGAAGACAGCCTCTCACAGATTCATTTGAAATGCTAAGTTCTGAAGACAAGAGGATTTGCAAGATCACCTCTTGCTTCGGAAAGATGGGGAGGAAAGAATACATACATTTGCTTATATTTATCACGCATGCACTAAAGTTGCTTCTATAGACAATATATATTCTGGAAATTACTCTAAAGAAGGGAACTTGAGAGAGGAACCAAATGTTTGGGAGAGCAGCAGAGAGACTCTTTGCCAAAGATGCGTTTCTGAATATTGGACACTTTTTCCATTTAGAAACATGCAGATGTATAATCAATTCCAAACTGAGATGTTTAAAACTGAAACAAAATCTGTCAGTAGCATTGCGTGCTGTGTTAGAGTATCTGTGGTCCTTCTTTGTTTGCTAGGACACTGGTTTCCCTTTTCCCTTGAACAAAGAATTCAGCCCTGTTAAGGCCTGACTTTGGAAAGCTCTTCCCGGCAATCGACTTACAGTTCCGCCCATGTGTGGGGGCAGGTACTCAACGCTCACGTAGTCCTGAACTTCGTTTTTACCCGTAAACTTCAATAAACTCACAGCCTCAGGACCCAGCCAGGATTTCACAATTTTGAAAGCAGCTGAAGGGGAGAAAAAAAAAGTCACTTCATTATATTCTTTTCATTCATCCTTCTGCTCAATTTTCCTACATGTGCCCTAATCCAAGTGCCCTAAAAAGAATTTTGTCTATACCTGTGTTTCTCTAAGGCTGCATACTTAGTATGCCACGGTTCCGGTGGACAGTTAGATTGTGAATGCTCTTGATGGGTTACGATTGTTTCAAGAAGATGGAGGAAGAGCCAATTACCCCGATGCTCATCAATAAACGACAGCATCAGGGGTTTGGCCTCTGCCCAAATCCTTCAAGGATCCCACAGCTAAGATTTCCAGAAAATGAATCAAACAGCATTGTGATTTCAGAGAACCATGATATCATAGTGGGGAAAGAGTCATTGCTTACGCTTCTGATACAGCCCTGATCTGAAATACCTCAGACGGGAAGTAGTTCTCCCTTCTCTTGGGGATATGAGCAGGACCCAAATTTTTGTTCTAATGCTAACTTCTTCCTCCAAGCTCTGTAGCTTATGTAACTGCAGAGGAACTTTTAGGAGCTGCCAGAGGAAACTGTCTTCAAAGACACGGTACAATAATTTTCATCTCGTTCTGTCAGTGTTTCTTATTTTTGCTTATTTTCTAAACCTTGGTTCCATCCTGACAGTTTAAGCCCCTTCAAAGGACATTAAGAGAGGAATACTGTATTGCATTATATTTGTAAAAATGTCATTGGGAAAAAAATCTGGGGATAAAATAGCATGATAAGCATTAAATAGTTCAGAAAATTGCCTTTTAACTTTAGCTAATCATGTTTCATTTTTTTTACATGACACTTAACTTGTCATTTATTTCAATTAAAGTCTGCAAATCGACATGTTTGAAGCTATGCTACTGGAATAAACTAAAGTGTATAATTACATTTCTTAAGTTTTGAGATATGACTTGATTTATAAAATTCACCCTTTTAAAGTACATACTTCAAAGGTTTTTAGTATATCTGCAGAGTTGTACAACCTTTACTGGTATCTAATTGTAGGCAATTTTTATTACACCAAAAAAGAAACCGTCACCCACTGGAAATCTCTACTATTTTCGCCAGCTTTCATTTCCTGGCAATCACCCATCAATTTTCCATCTTGATGGGTGAGCCAGTTTTGGTTGGACATTTCATAAGTGGCGTAATGAAATATGTAGTTTTTCTAACATGGTTCATTTGGTGAGTTTTCAAGGTTCCTGAAAGACACAGCAAGTATGTATTCAATTCTTTTTTTTTGAGGGGCCCACAACTGGTGGTGCACAGGGGAACATATACGGTGCCATGGATGGAACCTGGGTTGGCCACATGCAAGGTAAGCACCTATTCCTTATATTCTATCTCTCCAATCCTCAATTCTTTGATTATGGCTGAAAAATATTTCATTTTCTTACTCTACAGTGAAAGGCAAACGCCCTACTGCTGTGCTCTGACGTATTCAATATGCCAAACACAGTAACAACAAGTCTCAAAATGGAGACGTTACTGGACCCGCTTGAGCAAATCGATGAATAACGGGAGGACAGTGACAGTGACAGTGACTCTACAGCATTTGTTTATCCATCTGTTTACTGATGATCATTCTGGTTGCTACTACTTTTTACTTTTATGAATAAAGCTGCATCTGTGTGTGTGTGTGTGTGTGTTTATACTTTCCCTATACCCATACCACAGTATCCTACACTTACACTTAAAGTTCTAGGGTGAGTTTTAAAATGAGGAAGTGCAAGTCTTCCAATTTTGTTCTTTCCCAAGTTTACTTTTTACTATTCTGTCTTGATTTGCCGTGTATATTACGCCACCTGCAAACACAGTTCTTATTCCTTCTCGTCCTGCTTAAGATACCTGTTTTCTTTTGCTTCCTTAAGTGTTTTGATAATACAGATAACGATGCCATCTAAAATCTTAGGGCAAAAGCATTTAGTCCTTCATTACTAGGTAAGCATGGTATTTATTAGCAGTGGTTTTCATAGGTGCAGGATTTACATGCATGCCCTTTATCAGGAGGAAGAAGAGAACTTCTGGCAAGATGTAACCTTGCTCTAAGAAATGTCTGCACTTTGCTTTGATTCCTGGGAAGTAATCTTCAAGCCTGATGGAGGTATCTTCATCGCCTGGAGGAACTGGATCACACAGAAACACCAGGATTTCCGGTGAGGCTTTGGGTCACACACAGCACCACTAACCCTCTGGAAAGGCTGGAGGCAGGAGATTTGCCACGTGGGCAATCCTTCACTCTTGCACAATGGGGGCTTATATAACCCCTTGCCACTGAAGCTTCTGTGCGTGTCACTAGAGGGAATATTCCACACCTACTGCCACATATCTAGCCACGGGCTAGAACTATGCTCTATTGGGTGTGCTGACATGGATTTTGCCCTAGGTTTTCTTTCTCTCAGCTCAGTGAATCCGAATCCTTTCCTGTAATAAGCTATAACCATGAATATGACAGCTCCCACTCAGTAGAGAGGAACTGTAGGGAGTTTTTGAACCCCCAAACTTGCAGCTGGTCTAAGAAATGAGGGTATTTCTAGGCAAATTACCTTGGTCCCTCCAGTTGTGTAGTTGTTCCAACTCTCTGCACTTTATTAATAGATAAACTATTAATAAGTGCTTTCATTGTGAGACGAGTAATCGATTTTGTCAGGTGTTTTTTCTGTGTTTGTTGAGATGGCCCCGTTTATTTTTTTCTTCAGTTGATTAATATACTGGATAGCCCTGAATCTCTTATACTGAGAATCTTTGCATTCTTCGCATTCTTCTAAATTCCACGTGGCCCAAGTTTATCATCCTTTTTCTACGTTGCTAGCTAGCACTTTTCTAAATAATTTGGTGGCGCATCTGCATTTGTCAGGGGTACTGCTGTTTCAATTTCCTTTCCTGGCATCCTGGCATCCTGGCATTAGGGAGAGACTTGCCTCATGAGCTAGCAAAGGTTTGTTTTGTTTGTGTGGCGGGGAACCCCAGGAGTACCATCACCTGGGGAAGTGAGGCGGAGGGAACTATGAGCTCCTGGGGATTAAACTGGGATTGGCTGCCTGCAAGGTGCACACCCTGGGCCCTGGGTGATACTTTTCAGGGTCGGTGCTGATGCATTCTATGTTTTGTAGAAATTATGAGTGAAGCCCTTTGGCTCTAGACTTTATGAGAAGTTTTTAGATTATTATTCCAAGGGGTTTGTTACATACACTCAGCTTCCTCTAGAATATTTCAGCAGTTTGTGTCTTTCAAGGAATATGTCTATTTTAAGCTGGTTATCTATCACCTGGCATCATTTGTTCATAGTATTCCCTTATAAACCTTTTTTATGTCTTTGGAGCAATTTCAGTTACAGTTGTAACGAATGTCCCCTTCTTTGATTCTTGGTATTAGTACATCTTTCCCTTTTTTGGCTAGTTTGGGGCTACACCTAGCAACAATACTCCCGCCTCTGCACTCAGGGATCACTCCTGTCAGGGCTTGGAGGACCACATGGGGTGCTGGAGATGGAAACTGACTCACCTCAACTACTGAACTATCTTTCCAGTTCTAAGTCTTTTATTGTATTTTTTTTTCTTGATTAGTGTTGGCTGAAGTTTAGTCCATTGTGCTGAACTTTCCAAAGAATGAAACTTTGATTACATGGGGTTTTTCTGCTCTTTTCTATGTATATCATCTGAATTTGGCCAATACAGAAATGTACAGTCTGAACACAAAATAAAGTTTATAATCTCATTAAAGTTAGTCAAGAATACTTTTCAATTCTTTAGACAAAGTCTTTTTTTCCCTAAAACATCATGACTGTCATAAGGATTATGTGACTTGAGATTTGGGGTACATTTCAGATTCTAACTTCTTTTTTCAACACCTAAAGCCCAGAGAAAGCCGAGCCAAAGGCTGCATTTTGTGACATTGCTCATCTGCGGGTGACAAGTTGAGGTTTCTGGCTCTAGCTTTTTCTGAATAATTAAACATCTTGAAGCCCTTTTTAGAGAAGACTAATGGGGTTCTCAGAGTCTGCGGGCAGAATGTTAGCCTGGTTACGCTTCCTAGCTCGCCTCCAAGAGTGCATGCCAATCACAGTAGAATCATTCAAAACACAACAACACATAGGAACATGGCTACATCGAGGAAGTTAAGAAAGAAAACACGTTTTTTAAATGAAAATATCAGTAGTTACTTACCATTCATTATCCAAGGCATATCATAGATCACTATTTTTGCTGAAAGATGAAAAAGATTCATTGAAAGAGATTTAGTACCATGATCGCACTCTCACTTGTATCTGGCCTAGAAATAAAACTGGGGATCTAAAGGTAACTAGCGACCACACTGGTTGGCTGAGCTTTAATTAATTCTGAAGAGTGAGTGGTGCTAGAACAAAATGAACTCCTTCAAAACAGTGAGGAGTCGACCCAGGAGGGCTGCTTGTGGGAAATGAATAATGTACAATCACCATCTTTTGGCAAACAGCCTATTCTTTGCTTTTTTCTAACATTCCTAGCCCCAATCCACTATTTTGTTCATTTATGCCTTCTGTTGTTTTCAGAAAGGAACAAAATGAAACAGCTAAGTAGGTGAGTGAAGGTGAGTGAGGCCTTTGAATTTGACGTGTCATGTTACTCAATTCCAATGAACTTTAAAACGATTTCCACATCATTTATGTTCTCACTTATAATTTTCTAGAGAGTATACTGTTAAGCCACTCACAGTTGGTCCCCCACTTTTAATAAATCATTACGTTTTAAAGCAACATTATTTTCACTTTTCCTAATATTATGAACTCCAGGAAGCCAATACTTCTAAAGCATACAGAAGTATTATTTGCACACTGAGATGAAGTTATTAAACAGCCCCATTAACAATTGTGAGACAGAACAAAAAACCACAAAGGGGATGCTTTATCCAATTCATTCTTCATTGCAAATGAATCAAAAAAAGTAATTTCATTCTTCTCTGAGCAGAGAACTCATAAAATGATTGTACTAGTGAAAGACATGTAATGTGTAGAAACAAGGGAACTGCAAAGAGAAACCCTGATTTCCTCTCAGTCTTCAACTGGGATATGCCTAAAATGATGTGAATTCAAGATTTTAAGATGTAATAGTTATAGTTCACGATAGACTTTGAAGCATCATCAACCTATGGTTTCATATAATTTAGTATCTATGAAACATCAGCACTGTAGCACTGTCCTCCCATTGGGCATCAATTTGCTCGAGTGGGCACCAGTAACCTCTCCATTGTGAGACTTGTTGTTACTATTTTTTTTTTGGTATATCGAATACGTCACAGGGAGCTTCCCAGGCTCTGCCGTGCGGGTGGGATACTCTTGGTAGCTTGCCGGGCTCTCCAAGAGGGACAGAGGAATCGAACCTGGGTCGGCCATGTGCAAGGCAAACATCCTACCCGCTGTGATATCGCTCCAGCCATATGTGTAAATATGCTTCCTCTATTTGATTGAAATGAGGTGCTCAAATTCATCTATACATAGTCCTTTGACTTTATTTTAAAAACCCTGTTATCCATGATTTATTATTAATGGACTGATCAAAAGAATATTAAATGTATTTTGTCAGGTAATAATGATGCCGCTAAGTGTTTTTTTTAAACACACTCCTTTGGCTATTTCAACAGACAAGTAGCTATCTTTCAAACAAGTGGCTATGTACTTTAATTTTGCACCTAGGAAAAACCAGCCAGTAAAATGGAACAGTAATACCCTCCTGTCTGCTAACTGGCACTGCAGAGCAAGTCTTGAATTAGGATACCTGCAAGATACAGGAAGCGCTCACTAAGAGCATCAGATCTTATGGGTTTCCAAAAATCGGACAGTTTTTACCTAAAAGCATTCATGAATACTCCCTGAAGACATCGCAAGAGCATAGGGCTGGGCGTGGCACCAACTCTGAACATTTATCAGACTTTTTGCCTGTTTCTCACTAATATTTGTATGAATGTGTGAGACAGGCCAAAGAGCTGTTGTTTAGGGCGTAACTTTACTGCCACTATGTCCATTAGTTCCTAAAGCCTGTAACTGTAGTATTTGCCAGGCCTATGCTCAGCAGACATGTGAATTTCCCTTTTTTTGGATGCCTCTACTGTCTCCCTTCTGTTTTTTCAATGTTGTAATCAACTGGGGTTGGATGTATTCGGACTGTTCATGTGGGTTGGCATCTGGATTTCCCAAGGAAGAAACTAGCAGATAGGTCCAATGAACAAAAAATACCGAGTTAAGATTTAGATGCTCGTCACTCATGTCATTAATGGAAGAATCAATAACAATTAAAAACAAACTCACTCCAAATGCCAGATTAAAATGTAGTAACTTTAGTCAAGTATGTTATTAATGAAAATTTGTTTAGATAGCAGCATTGCTTAGCACAGAGTGTATTACTTACCAATATGACTTAACTATTCTTATCAGGAGTTGAGATAATGTTCTGTAAAATACATTTCTCCATCGACAGATTAGAAAAACGGGAAAATATTGGAAGTAAATACCTATGTAAGTGTGTTATAAGCTGTTTGAACTCTTAAAAATATGAGACAATGATTATTCATGAAGAACTTTCTCATATAGCTAGTAAAAAATGCACTTAAACTTCTGTGAACACATTTAAACTCTTCATCAGAAAATAATGTTTTAGGTATGAAAGTCTAAACTAATATTAAGCCCAATAATTCTCATGCATTATCTACAACTTTGTTAGTATATTTTTATAAAAGGAGTAAGTTACTTACAGACATATTTAGGGTAGTATACCTTAAAGCAGTTAATGATGAAACGTACAAAGTCCATATCCTAAAAAAAAATTACACATTTCAATCTTGAAGACTGTCTACATTCACAAATTTTAAATTGCACATTGTAAAGTAGACGGATTATAAAATACAAATGAGACAAACTGCCTGCCTTCACTTCTAGCTTCTTTCCTCTTACCTAAGGATCTAAAATTATATTTTTTTGTTCACATTCAAGTGTTGCTCATTGACTGCAGTTTCTGGGAATCTTTATAAATAGAGCTGTCTTGGCTGGTTCTACTGCAATGAACACAGTCATAAAATGAGATGAAATTAGGTTATTAGGGTTACTATCCACATGGATCATTTCACTCCAAGTTATTTCATGGCTATCGGCTGATTTGCTAATCCTGATGAACCATCCTTTTATAAAGACCATGGGATGAAAGAGATAACCAGACAAACTTAAGGTATTAATGAATTAATAGGTTTTCTTAGAGGAGTCTATAAAAATCATTCCTAGCGATTGAGTTACAACATTTCTGTTTAACTATAGTAAACAGAAAGTATCCTTAACTATATAGGGTCTTTATTATGGGATAAAATCTAGTGTATAATAAGTAAAGTAAAAGTAAAGGCCCTCCCGTTGATCATCGATTTGCTCGAGTGGGCCCAGTAACGTCTCCATTGGAGACTTTGTTGTTACTGTGTCTGGCATATCGAATACTCTCGGTAGCTTGCCAGACTTTCCAAGAGGGGTGGAGGAATCGAACTTGGGTCAGCCATGTTGGCTGCGTGCAAGGCAAACGCCCTACCCGCTGTGCTATAGTACCAACCATTAGTAAGTAAGAGTAAGTAAAGGCCCTCCCGTTGATCGTCGATTTACTCGAGCGGGCCCAGTAACGTCTCCATTGGAGACTTTGTTGTTACTGTGTCTGGCATATCGAATACTCTCGGTAGCTTGCCGGGCTCTCCGAGAGGGGCGGAGGAATCGAACTCGGGTCGGCCATGTTGGCTGCGTGCAAGGCAAATGCCCTATATCTAATCATTGTATCCACTGTGAAGAAGGTTTAATCATTTGTAGTTAAGAGTCAAAGAATCAAAGAATATATCTCAAAAGAACTATATAAAAGTAATTAGATAATCTCAGCAGGTTCGTCTTAAAATTTTTCATCTGATATTCTTGTTTCCATCTCTTAATTGAACTATACTTGCTTGTAAAATCTCAAGCTACTGCTTGTTCTAGTGCACTTAATAAGATGGCACTGATGCACAAACATTTGTGGTTATTATACTACATTCTATAAGGATGTTTTCAAGGATATTATTTTTTTTTTACCACAACCGGTGATGCTAGGAGTTACTCCTGGCTCTGCACTCAGGAATCACTCCTGGTGGGGCACGGGAGACCATATGGAATACCAGGAATCAATCCTGAGTTGGCCACATTCAAGGCACATGCCCTACCCACTCACTATACTATCTCTCTGGCCCCATCAATGATATTAATAAAATGCCCTCCCTTTGAAGACCCATGAAAGACTTCTTGCCCCCACTAATTCAAGCATCTGGAATGGACACGGAATAGAGACACTTTCTCTAAGATACAGGTTTTTAAAGTCTGGCTACTGAATTATTTAAATTTTTTCTGGCTTTTTGGGTCACCTGGGGCAATGCACAGTGGTTACTCCTGGCTCTGCACTCAGGAATTACTCCTGGCGGTACTCAGGAGACCCTATAGGATGCTGGGAATAGAACTTGGGTCGGCTGCATGCAAGGTAAACGCCCTACACACTGTACTATCACTCCAGCCCCTCAATTTTAATTTTTTTTCTAAATAATTTTAAACCCTTCATTTCTCTTTTGTTGTTGGTGTTTGGGCCATGCCCAGTAGTGCTCAGGTCTGACTCCTGGCTCTGTACTCAGGGGCTACTCCTGGCCGGGTTCGGGGGACCATAATCATTTTCAGGGATTAAACTGCCATTTGCTGTGAGTACCTTAACCCCTGTATTATCTCTCTGGCCCCATGAACCGTTCATTTCTTTCAGGAGTGCTGCTAAAACCAAGAGCCAAAGCAGAGGCCCATCTGACAAATAATTTTTTAAAGGCGCCTCACAATTCTCTTCATCTTTATAAGCTGACTTAAATCCTTTGTGAGTCACGAGAGTCTCAAATATAAAAATAACAAGACGGATATTTCAACCATCAATAATGATTTAAATACTTAGTAATGCAAGTATAAGCCTTACCTATAAAGATAATAAACACACAGTAGCTTTAAAAAAGACAGCTTAAGTCAAATGGGAAACACAAAATATTAGTATTTCTCTTCATGATTTGGAGTTAATTACGAAACTACCACAGGTAACAATAATACCAAGTTTTTTTTTTTTTAAACTCTAGACAATATGCCTTAGTTTGGAGTATAAAATGATTTAGTCTATAATAAAACTCAGTTGTAACGGAAGTTACGTTGAAAAAAATTCAAGGCAATGGACATGTGAAATACAAACAGAAGGATAGAGAGATAGTACAGTGCTTGTCTTGCACCAACCCACATTCACCCTCCAGCGCCACATACAGTCCCCCAAGTCCCACCAGGAGTGACCCTCGAGCGCAGAGCTAGGAATAAGCACTTGGCATAGACGGGTGTGGGCCCCAAACCAAAAAACAAATAGCAGCAGACAGATACACAGAATGATAAAAATATCTGTAGTTCTCTCGCCCTACACAACTCAAGCTAACCACTCTGACTAATTGTTCAGTCTAATGTATAAGGCATTCCTTTCTGATGGGCTACATATCACAATGATATCATTTTTCAGCCTTCTCCATTTAAAATTTTTTTTCCCGCTGGTTCGGGGGGGGGGGGGGTGCACACCTGGTGGCAGTGCTCAGGGCTTACTCCTGGCTCAATGCTCAGGGACCTCTCTTGGCAGTGCTTGAGAACCAGATGGGGTGCGAGTGAACGAACCCAGGTTGGCTGTGTGCAGGGCAGGTGCCCTACTTGCTAGACTATCTCTTCAGTACCAGAAAAGGTATTTTCTATTAATACTCTTAATTTTCTAAATATCTTTTTCCATAGCTACACGGAATCCCTCACATTAAATATGCCAACATTTCCCATCTTGCTATGGGAACATTGGTGGCTCCCTTGGAATTTGTCATACTTTTCAATAACGCTCTGAAAACACATTGGGGTGAGCAAACCTTTTTCCATACTCGTGAAATAGGATACATTTCCAGGAGTACATTCCCAGGCAGAGAGTATGATCATGAATACCTTTATGCCTTTTAATATATTTTGTCCCATGAATTTTCAGAAAGGTTTCAATGCTACAGAGAGAGCCAAGTGCTCTGATAAATATGTCAATGGACCCGGGCACCACTGTTGTTCTTGCTGCCACTAGGCTGTTGACAAGCGCCCACATGAAAGACTGTGACGCGTCATTTCTTTCTCGAGCTTGGCCTGAAGAAAAAGAGTTTCCCAAGCTAACCACACCTAGCAAATAAAACCAAACCCAAACAAGCAAACAGTAAAAACCCCAATTTAAAAAAGCACAAGATGCCTGTGTGCAAGCGTCAGGTGGACACCTAGCATGGGGAGCCGGCTGTACTCACACTGCATTGCTCTGGGCTAGGCCCATGATGGGCCACTACAGACCAATGTTACTCAGTGTCCTGCCGGTGTCCTGCTGGCCTCGATGGCCTAACTCTACATCTTGTGTACCAGACAAGGAACATTGCTATAGGAAATTCAGTTTCCCTGCCAAAGACTGAAGCAAACTGAACACTTTGCAAATGCTATCCTAGGTCTGCCTTCGTTCACAGTGCAGGGAAAAACAGAAGGAACTCCCGTGGCCGCTGGCTGGGTCACAGTGTGGGGTCAGACAGGAAGCACAGAGGACATGGAGGTCGAGACGATAGAGGGAATGGAAAGTGCTTACTATGCTATTGATTCCCGTTTCTGACAGGTCAAACATAACTGTCAAAGGTTTCCCATTTTCTCTTCTGGAATAACGCTCCAACCAGAAAGCTATGAGCTTCTTTTTGTCCGATATGGTCTTATGGTCTTTGATGTGATACTTCACCCTGATCCAGACTTGAAGCAGAACAAAAAGATAGAAGAGATTAAAAATGAGAAAAAGGATTATGTCATCATTACAGATATAGAGAAGTAAAAAAAATCATTTCATTCCTTGACACCTTTAATTATAATACAACATGTTTTCTCAGATTAAAAATATCTCTTGGCTGAAAAGATAGTACAGGGGTTTAGGCAGTTAATCCCTTAGTGTTTTGTATATATAAGCAACCAGCACCATACAGGGTCCCCCAGCATTGTCAGGAAGAACCTCTGGGTACAGAGCCTGGACTGAGCCCTGAGTGCTGCCGGGTGTGGCCCCCAAACAAATAAAATCTCTCTTCCTTAAGTAAGCAGTAGTACATACTTGGGAACCTTCAACCGAACCTCTCATTAGTAAGTAAGGCGGAGAGGGGGGCAGGGTTACAGGTGAACAAACAGCATTTGGCAATGACCTAAAAGCATTCTTTGTGGTGCCGGAGAGAAGAGAAAGCCATTGTTCCCATGCAGTGCTGGGAAAATACCCCATCCAGAGGAGCAGCACAGACAGGCACGGTGCGGGCCAAGTGCATGCTGTGACTGTGGGTGGAGCGACGGGGCAGCTCAGCCAAAATGACATGAGTGAGAAGAGACGCTGTGGAGATGCGGGTTGGCGGATGAGCTCGGAGGGAAAAGCTGGTGCATCGCCTTTCCCGTGTCACATGGTTTGGTTTGATTTGGTTTGGGGCTTGTGAGGCCAGAGTGCAGAGGTTGAAGCCAGTGACCCTGAGCACGCCTGGCCCAGCTCCCTCCCCCGTGAGGACCCCCAGACTGGAGCCCCTCTCAGGACATTCCCCTCTGCAATTGCCTGCATCCCGACTTGGGCTGTGTCATTTTTTTCTTTTACTTTGTGGGGTTCTCCCTTCTCTCTTATAGTTCCTAAATAAAAGTATTTAAAAAAATAGCATGAAGTCTCTGGGGCAGCTGCGAGAGCACTGGCTGGAATAGCAGAGAAGAGCTTAAGGAGGTTGTGACGACAACTGAGCAGGAAAAAGGTTTGAGCCAATGAAGATGGAATGGGTGACACAGGCATGTTAGAAGCAATTGCTAGGGCCGGGTTGGGGCTGGGGGCATCTGGGTGCCCAGCTGTGTAACATGAAGGCGGCTGGGCCTCAACCACATGGTGCCCATCAGCAGGGAGGGAGGTATGTATAGTATGTGATCGTGATCTGGGCATGCAGTGGGGTCACTGTTTTAGGGGAGTTAGTGGTATCTGCGACCACCCAAAGGAGACTGTGTCAGCTGAGAAGTGAAAGAGGTCCACAAAGGAATAAAGCCTGGGAAGCACGTTTCAAGGAGTGAGGAAAAGAAAGATAAGAAATGCAGGAGGGAAAATCTGGTAAGACCCCAAGTGTCTACAGACAGATGAGTAGATAAAGAAACTATGGTACGTGTACGCAAAGGAATACTACTCAGCTGTAAGAAAAGATGATGTCATACAATTGGCTGCTTATGTGGATGGATCTGGGAGGTTTCGTGCTGAGTGAAGTTAGTCACAGAGAGGGACAGACACAGAATGATCTCTGTCTAGTATAAAAAAAAAACCTAGTAGAGGAATAACAAACACAGACAACAGTCAGGGAAGAGTGTGAATGGAGTACTGAAAGGAGGTAGAAGGTGCCTGCCACAGGCGTGGGCAGGGGCGGGAGGGTAACTGGGGACACTGATGGAGGGAAGTGGACGGTGGTGAAGGGGTTGTGTTAGAACACTGCACTTCTAAAACTCAGTGATGAAGGACTTTGGAACTCTGATTCAATGAAATTAATTTTGAAAGCAAAGCAAAGCAAAGCAAAGCAAAGCAAGCAAAGCAGGCAGAAGAGGAGGAGGCTGTGTGGAGAACATGGGCTGGAGGCCACGCAGGAGGCTGCTATCCGCAGGACTCTGCCACACCAGGCTATTCCCAGCCTGGAGACAAAACCCAGCTGGAGTGGAGGCCAGAGGAAGAAGAGTGAAGTGCTGGACACAGCGATGACTGTCATAGCTCCACTTGCTATCATGGGGGTGTAGGAAAAGCCAAGGGCAGAAGATGGGGAGACCAAATAAAAATCTATTGAGCAGCCTTGTGCGACAGAAGGGTTTTCCACAGAAATCCTGTGTAGAATTTTTATTTTTTTCTTTACTTTTGGGGTCATACCCGGCAATGCACAGAGGTTACTCCTGTCTCTGCACTCAGGAATTACTCCTGGTGGTGCTCAGGGGACCATATGGGATGCTGGGAATTGAGCCGGGTCAGCCGCATGCAAGGCAAACGCCCTCCCCGCTGTGCTATCGCTCCACCCCAATCCTGGGTAGAATTTTAACATTACAGTCAAATGAGAAAATAATGACTGAATGACACTGCTCTGTTTGATTGCTACCACAAAGATCTCAAAAAGCCAATGGATATGTTACACAGACTTACACAACTTGTTGCCTTCTTTGTCGTAACCATGGAGATAAATACCACCAATTTCCAATAACCATCTAGGAATGGAAGATTCATTCAAATCTGAAACAGTGATAAACTCTGATGAGTTAATTTTCCATAGCAGACTAAAGAAAAAGGTAAAGATTAAAGCTATATAGTCGGTCTGATATGCAAGCATGTAGAGGCCCTCCCGTTGATCATCGATTTGCTCGAGCGGGCCCAGTAACGTCTCCATTGGAGACTTTGTTGTTACTGTGTCTGGCATATCGAATACTCTCGGTAGCTTGCCGGGCTCTCCGAGAGGGGCGGAGGAATTGAACTCGGGTCGGCCATGTTGGCTGCGTGCAAGGCAGACGCCCTACCCGCTGTGCTATCGATCTGAAAGAAAGTGCTTATTCAAACATCTAGAAAGAACCTCTGTAGCACTGTAGCACTGTCTTCCCACTGTTCATCGATCTGCTCGAGCGGGCACCAGTAACATCTCCATTGTGAGACTTGTTACTGTTTTTGGCATATCAAATACGCCACAGGGAGCTTGTCAGGCTCTGCCATGCAGGCGGGATACTCTCGGTAGCTTGCCGGGCTCTCTGAGAGGGACGGAGGAATCAAACCCGGGTCAGCCGCGTGCAAAGCAAATGCCCGACCCACTGTGCTATCGCTCCAGCCAGAATGAACCTCTAGCAATCAAAATGGTGCTTAACACTACAAAATAAAATAGATGAGAGAAATGAAAAAAAAAAAGGCATTTCCCTTGACAACTGCCATTTATTGCTATGGCCCCAGTTCCATGTTCCGTCTGTGTTTTACATACTGACTTATAAACAAATATTGCCATTATAGAACAGCTTCAAGAGAATAAGCCAGCAAAAATATCCACATTGCAGCTACATAGTTAACAACAACCCCCTCCCTCCCTACTGTGGTGTTTCTACTAAAATAACATTTTTCTACGGTTTGACATCCAATTGAATTGGATGCATTATATAATCCTAGTTGCAGTGGAAAATATTTCAAAAGTGCTAGATGCTTTTATAGGAGATATAAACAAATAGGCCTCTATGAGGCCATGAACCGAGGCAGGAAATAGCCAGGCCTGTTTTACTTAAGCCCCCTCTGACTTTTAAGCCTTTCTGTTTGAAGGGGCAAGTTTTCACTTAGAAGTGGGTTTTTAGGGGCTGGAGCGATAGCACAGCGGGTAGGGCATTTGCCTTGCACGCGGCTGACCCGGGTTCCATTCCCAGCATCCCATAGGGTCTCTTGAGCACCGCCAGGAGTTAACTCCTGAGTGCATAAGCCAGGAGTGACCCCTGTGCATCGCCAGTGTGTGACCCAAGAAGCCAAAAAATAAAGTACATTTTTAGAAGCGAGAGGAACCACTGGGGGCACTTTTCTCGGGGTGGGGGTGGGGGGAGGCTCCATTCATTTAGCAGTTCGTTTTGGGAAGCCTTCCAAAGCGGTGCTCAGTATGCCTGGGAACCACCCCACACCCAGTGATTATCGGTCAAACCACACTGGCAGGTCAGTGCAAGGGCCCGGGGCTGGGATGCTGTTGAGGCCCTGGGGTGCTGTTGAGGCCCGGCAGTTCCAGGGATTACCCCCACCATCCCAGCAGGGTTTGGGGACCTCTTGGGTCACACCTGGTACTGCTCAGGCAACCACGTGGCGCTCTAGAGCGAACCAGGGTCAGCCACACACAAGGCAAGCACCTTACCCCCTATACTATCTCTCTAGCCCCTCACACTGTATGTCTATATGGATCACCTATCAGGGAAACGCAGCCAAGGAGAAAACCAGGCAGACACACTCCGCGTGTCTCCAGCCGAGCAGTGCACACGCTGCCTCGCTGTTAACTGGGCACTGATGAGACTGCAGGGAGTGACGGATTGCATCGTGAGCCCTGGGAGTGTCACTGAATATGGAGGTTAAGCCTCACTCCCTAAGTGCTATTGGGTCTCTAAATGTGGGTGTTTATGATGCTTGCTAAGACCGTTTGCAAAGACATTCTTCGAGCAATATGGAACGGGAGCACTTAGCGGGAGTGTCAGGTGCGCGAGGGAACACCTTACCGTGAACAGACATTTCTTTCCTCCACTGAAAACTTTCATCAATCATCTTCAGGGTTTCATCCACCACATTATGTCGCCAGGATAAATAACTTTCAACCCAGTGATCATCCTGTTGAAGCCTTTCGATATCACGGGAGTCATATTTCTCTGGCTTATCTAGAGGAAAGCAGGGATAAATATCCAACTCAGATAAATTCTGCAGTGAATAAGAATGAAAAACACGAATGCCACAGGAGACAAAGGGATGTGAAGACAGACACAGAGCTATGCAGGGTTCAGATGAAAGAGCAGTTTCAGTAAGTGCAGAATTCCTAAGCAGGAGACAAATGAGGTTACTTGAAAGGTGGCAGCTTGACTAGGATTTTCAAAGACCACAAGAAAATATCTGACCTGACCCTAAAACTACCAACCAACATAGGGAAGATGGATGATGCCATGTGAACTTAAAATCATTACCCTGGCTACTGTAACTGGTTTGTATAAAGAACTTCCTTCTCTAAGTTGTACCTAAAAGACACATCGGGGGTGGGGGAGGGCCACTTCACAGAAATGAACCAGGGACCAGGGAGACAGCTCAATCTTCGAGCAATATGGAACGGGAGCACTTAGCGGGAGTATCAGGGAGACAGCTCAAGGGGTGGAGGACGCTGGCCCGACCTGGTTATCCCACGGGGCTGAGCATTGCTGGAAGTGATCCTGGGGCCCCATGCCTCGTCGTGGAAGCCCCTCTAAAACAGAACTAAGTCCAAAAGGGGAAACAGGCCATGTGTGCAGCGCTGCCAGACCCGGAGAATCTACCACGTGACTGGAATAACTGTCTCGAGTCACTTTTGCTGAGTCCCTATGCCATGCTCTCACCAAGGTTTCTCCTTCCACACTGCTCCCGCTGTAACTCAGTTGCTGATCTCGCTCCTTGTCTCCAAACATCCTCCTCCACCCACATTCAATTTCCCTGCTGCCCAGAAGGGACTCCTTCTCTCTGGTGAGCAGCAATAGACCTCAGCCTGCCTGCCTTCCTCCTTTCCTTCCCTCCCTCCCACTCTCTCTTCCTGTGCTCGGGGATCTTTTTTTTCTTTTTAAATGAAGTGTTACTGAATCACCATGAGATGCAGTTACAAAGTTGCATGATTGTGGTTCAGTCACACAATGCTCAAGCACTCATCCCTCCACCCACCAGTGCACATTTCCCACCACCATTGTTCCCAGTGTCCCACCAGCCACCCCCACCCCAGCCCACCCCACCCCACTCCCTGCCTCGGTGGCAGGTACAATCCTTCTTACTCTCTCTAATTTTGGGCTTTATGATTTGCAATACAGATACTAAAGAGGTCATCATGTTTGGTCCTTGGTCTACTTTCAGCACACTCCCATCCTGGGCGATCCCTCCAATCATCAGTTACTTAGTGGTTCCTTCTCCGTCCCAACTACCTTTTTCCCCAGCTCGTGGCGCCAGCTTCCAAACCATGGTGTGATCCTCCTGGCCCAGGGATCATTTTTGATGGAGCTCAGGAACCATGGGGATCAAACCCAGTTCAGTCACCCCAAGTGCCCTGGAACTAGGCCTTTTCTTCTTCTTTTTTCTTTTTTTTTTAATTTTTAATTTTTACATGAATCACCGTGAGGTATAGTAGTAGACTTACAAAATTTTGTGCTTGCATTTAAGTCATAAAATGATCGAGTGTCCATCCCTCCACCAGGGCCCATTCTCCACCACCAATGATCCCAGTATCCCTCCCACCCCCCATTATCCTCAACCCACCCCACCTCTGTGGCAGGGCATTCCCTTTCTCTTTCCTTCCCTCCCTCCCTCCCACTTGCTCTTTCTGTGCTTGGGGATCTTTTTTTTCTTTTTAAAAGAAGTTTTACTGAATCACCTTGAGATGCAGTTACTAAGTTGCATGATTGCATGCTCTCTTTCTCATTTTGGATGTTGTGGTTTAGGCCTTTCCTTCTTAAGGTGCTTTGCCCTTTCCTGGACAATCAGTTGTTGGCTTGCATGGACAACTTCCCAAACTGACACCATAACAGGCCATGTCTACTCATGAAAGGAATACCCCAGAATAGAGCAGTGCCATTGACAAGGCTTTCAGGAAAATGTTTGCTGCTGGTGTGTAGTTCTCCTCTTTTCTTATTTTCTTGATTAATTGTATCTCCCTAGGAATGCAAACAAAATAGCTTCAGAAGAGCCTTTATATCATCACGTCCATTAAAAAAAATTTTTTTTGTATCTGGTAAGTTGTCAGGTTTTATAGACTCTCTATCCTCTCCATTTTCTCTGCCTTATTTCAGACCATCAGAGATAATAGCTGAAAGGGCAGGGAAATAAAAAGTGTATTCAGAAAATTATCTTCATCAAGTCTCAATTTCCTTCGCTTTAAGCTGCTTTAAATACTCCCAGGATTGGGTGAGGAGCACACATAAAAAGTACTTATGAAAATACCTAGGAGTTCTGAGACTCTAAAATGTAAGATCAGGCCATAAATCAGGCACTGACAGAAAGCTCCTGGAGAGGTGGCTTCCAGTACTTGGGCTCCATTATAGGATGTGTGGCACGTATCGATTTGCCTTTGAGCCAGGCCCAGGGTCCATAGGTGTCACTCCCAGCCATGCTGCAGGACCAGATCTGGGCCTCTGGGGTGTAAAGCCCTAGTAGCCTTTAGAGCCATTTCCCCCAGCCCTGGGACACCTGAGTATTGGTATCCAGAGCGCGAGTACTCTGTAAGTTCAAAAAGAGTTGGAGATACAAAGAGTTTCCATCATTTAACAGCCTGAGGGTCCCTGGATCTGGACAATATGGCTTTTGTACAAAAGTCATTTAGTAATATCAACAGGGTGCGTGTGGTGCCCAAGCAAATGTGTGGCCTGCTGCATATGGTCCCCTGCTGAGCTGTGGACTTTCATATTAACTCCTGTGTTCTCTCTCTCTCGTTTTTTTTTTTTTTTTGCTTTTTGGGTCACACCCGGCAATGCTCAGGGGTTATTCCTGGCTCTGCACTCAGGAGTTATTCCTGGTGGTGCTCAGGGGAACATATGGGATGCTGGGAATCGAACCCAGGTCTGCCGTCTGCAAGGCAAACGCCCTATCCACTGTACCATCTCTCCAACCCCACTCCTGTGCTTTCTTGAGCACATACTTACCTTACCTCTCTCCCGACCTCCCTGTATTTTCCAATAAAACCTGTTTTTCCTTCAAAGATACATAACAATCGGGGCCAGAAAGATAGTACAGTGGATAACGCACTTGCCTTGCACATGGCTGACCCAGGATCAATCCCCGACACCACATATGCTCCCTCAATCCCTGCCAAGAGTGATCCCTGAGCACAGAGTCAGGAATAAGACCTGAGCACTGTCAGCTATAGCAAGACATACCAATATACAATATTTCCAAAAAAGATATTCTTTATGGAAACCATCTGTAATCAAAACGACCATTACCTATTAACACGAAAGGCCCCTGAATAAAGTTGCATCATCCGCCCAGAAATTGGTTTCCTCTGGGGCCTATCCTGTAATAACTAATTTTACACATTGCCTTTTGAAGTAATGGTTCACTTAAACATTTCCACACGTTAAAACCACAGTTTACAAGCAGCAGGGATATGGAAAGAATTTTTCAGCTCATATCATGGATGGAATGACTATTTTTGTGAAAGTGAAAGCAACAAATTTAGACACTGATTATTCAAAATGGTACAACACAGCTGCATCACAGATAGAAATTGTATTGCTTCTTTGTTACAGTTATTGGTCCTCTCATCTATTTTCAGGCAAAGTACAGGCCAATGTTGGGGTGGGAGAGTCAATACATATTTTAAATTTCATGGTGAAAAAGTGTCCTTGAGTGTGTCTACCCACTGTGGACAGTACACGCAAAGTGGCCACTGCTAGGCCTGACCAAAATGGCATTTCCCTAGAAATTGCAGTCTGATTTCACTCATTTTCAAGAAAATTTTGGCCAAATACCATGTGGGAATAACCTGTTTCTCAGATGCTCTTTTTTTTCTTTTCTTTTTTTGGGTCATACCTGGCAATGGGGCTGGAACTATAGCACAGCAGGTAGGGCATTTGCCTTGCACGCGGCTGACCTGGGTTCGATTCTTGTGTCCCTCTCGGAGAGCCCGGCAAGCTACCAAGAGTATCCCGCCCGCAAGGCAAAGCCTGACAAGCTACCCGTGAGGTATTAGATATGCCAAAAATAGTAACAACAAGTCTCACAATGGAGACATTACTGGTGCCTGCTCGAGCAAATTGATGAACAACGGGAGGACAGTGCTACAATGCTACCTGGTGATGCTCGGGGGGACCCTATGGGATGAGGGGATTAAATACAAATCGGCTGCATGCAAGGCAAATACACTACCCACTGTACTAGCGCTCCAGCCCTCAGCTGCTCTTTTCACTCAGAAAAGGGGTCTATGAAAAATGTTACTGAGATAGAACTCAGATATCCTTAGTCACATGTACTTCTGGAGTTTGTCACATAGTACACTAAAAGACTGTGTTCTCGGGTAGGAGAATAAACTGGACGGCTTTGTGAGGAACTTCCCAAGTTAAAAATGGCCTTTAGAAAAAAGAGTGCGCTGACAATTTGGATTACAATGGCCACTAGCCTTTAATTTCGTGGCAGAACTGGCTGTTTTGCCCTTTTTGTGTGTGAGTGTGTGTGTTTGTGAGTGTGTGTGCGTATGATATTGGTGTAACTATCAACACAGTCGGGGGAAAAGGCAAAAGTATTATGAAAATAGTTTGACCTCACAGATTTCTGAAATGTTCTGGGTATCCCCAGGAGTTTCCCAGACTTAAATCTCAGATCCACTTACCTGAGTACACTAGCCACAATGAGGAAACAACACTGCTGGCATTAGCATTTTCACTCTCATTGCCGGGATTCCCATTAGGGCTACCATAAACCGGCCAGTGCCCGTGACTTAGGAGCACCGAGCCTGGGGCTGGAGCAATAGTACAGTGGGAAGGGTGCACTTGCCTTGCCCGCCAACTCAGGGCCATGCCCTGGCATTCCATATGGTCCCCAAGCACTGCCAGGAATGATCCCTGAGCACAGAGTCAGGAGTAAGCCTGGGCACCACTGGGAGTGGCCGCAACACCCAAAACCAACACGGAACAAAACAGAAACGTAAAGCCAACTGTTATCC